AAAAATGAATCCTAAATCTAAAGTGACTCAGTAAATAAGCTATAATTTCCTGGCAGAAAGAGTTGAGGAGGTGAAGAAAAGATATCAAAGGAACTAAACAGTAGAGAGCCTTCTAGAGGAGCAAACACTGAGTGACTCAAAAATATCCTGGGAATTTTCGTTTACATTCTGATCAATCCCTATTTATGTTTCTTGGAGACAGATGATACATTTGACCACTTCATTTCTACATGGGGTGTAAAATAATAAGAGCAACCAGCCTGCTAAGAATTCAAAGCCAGATGGTGTATATGTGTGTCATGCTGAGCTGATGGTTTGGAAATGCCAGCCCTGCAGAATGGCTGGAGCTGAATAATACTTCAAGGTAATCCTGCTTAAGGCCCACTTGTACATCTCTGTACAATGTATACATTTTATCCAATTAGTATAGTGAATTTTAAGTTGTAGTGGAAGGATGATATACACACAAGCAATAGAAAAACAGATGAAAGGTCACTAATGAGATTTGTTAACTGTCAGCTCAAATCAAACTCTAATAAAAATGGCAGAAATCTACAGTGGTTTACAATATTGGCAAACTGCTTCTAAAGCAAATAACCAAAAGTCAGTCCATTCTCCAGGGAATAGTAGGCTGTTTCATAATTTTCAAAGATTTTCTTTTGATCATGTGAGTTAAAGACAAAATTTCTTTTTCTTTGTAGTGCTGAGGATCAAACCCAGGGCCTCTCACAGAATAGGTAAGCACTCTGCTCCTGAGCTCTGTCCTCAGCTTAATATCTGAAGTAAAGAAACAAGAATAAAACCTCCAAATTTCCTCTGTCTCCTTATATTCAGAAGCTAGAAGATAGTTTTACGGCTTCTGCATTTCTTGACCTCCACCTTCTCACTTGGGGAAATCTGTAGCAGTGCAGGTAAGGAGGCGCCTATTCTAGTCACAGAAGGGGAGCCAGCAGAGAGGCCAGAGAGTGAGAGGCAGCCACCCAGGTATGGCACTTTAAATAAGATGATGATGAGGTAGCCCTAGAAAAGTGTAGACCCCATTCATATGTGCTGTTAACCAGGCAAATTTGACAAAATGTTGTTTAGCCTATTATGTGTATATTTTTAGAAATTCTTTTTCTTTTTTTTTAATTTTTTCCATTGTATTTATTTATTTCTTTCTTACATAGATGACAATAGTGGAGTGCATTACATTCATAATTATCCATTTACAGCACAACTTTTTTGTAATTCTGTATATAAAGTATGTTCAAGCCAAATTATGCCATTATATACGAGCTCTCTTTTTTTTTTGCATACAATTCTTAATACACCTTTATACCACCATTTATCATATCTCTGTTTGTATATAAGGTATGTTGACACCAAATTCACATCTTCATACATATATTTTGTATAATGATGACCATCTCCTTCCACCATCCTAGCTATTCCCCTTCTCCCTCCCTTTCCTTCCCATCCCTATGCCCTATCTAGAGGTAATTTTAAAATATGAAATTGTTTCCCCCCTTTTTCGTTTTAAAGTTCCCTTACATTGCTATTCCTTTTTAAAAAGTCTTTATAAAAGTATCTGCACCCCAAGAATCAGCAAATCATTCATTTATCCAAAAAAATTTTATTAAGTAATTTAGTTTCATGTTAAATTGGTTTCTTTTTCCTCTCTTTTGAAAGTCTGTTATTTAGGTATAAATATAATTAAGATCATCTTACCTTCTTGATGACGTGAACTTTTTATCTATAAAATGTACCCCCTTTTTTGTAATACAGGTCAATATCCTCTATTCAAAATACTTGGAATCAGGGATAGGGTTGTGGCTCAGTGGTGGAGCGCTTGCCTAGCATGTGTGAGGCACTTGGTTTGATCCTCAGCACCATATTAAAAAAACTAAATAAAAAAATAAAGGTTTTGTGTCCATGTGTAACTAAAAATATTTTTTAAAATACTTGGGATCAGAGATGTTTGATTTTGGGATATTTGCACATACACAGTGGGAAGGATATCCTGGGGATGGGATCCAAGTCTAAACACAAAATTCATATATGTTTACATACATATTATACAATAGTCTGAAGATAATTTGTACACCATTTTTAATAATTGGTACACAAAACACAGTTTATATTGCTGCTAAAGGGGCTTGGAGGATCGTTTTTCCCCTTGGGTATATGGAATAAACTGTATTGTGCACCTGCACTTTTACTGACCCATTTCAAGGTCTATTTCTATTTGTGGCATCCTGTTTGGCACTCAAAATGTTTTGCATTTTGGAGCATTTTAGATTAGAGATATTCAACCTATATAATTAATCATCACAAAATCAGCATCTAAAAAATTGATTCATGTATTTAGAATAGAGGTCTGGTTGTTTACAATGGAAAAGGAAGTCTGGTATTAGATACTATATCTTTGGGTTTTGAAGTGAAAAGTAGTAGCAAATTTACTTGTGTTTGGAAAGTATTGCAATAATTGTAACTAGAACTGTTTTTCTTGCACTTATCCACCACTCAGTTTCCCAGGATGCATTAAAAAAATAATTGTTTTCCAAATATTTTTCTTTATCAGTACTAAGCCAAGATTCTCTTTCTTTTGCCTATAAACAAAAACCCTGCGGAATTTATACATACACTACAGTGTCTTGGCCTTTGAGCTCACCAAATCCTGCTGTGATTAGCCAATCTTTAAATCCAGGGGGAACTTAGGAAAGGAATGAAGAGACTAGCTAATTATATTCTAAAAGTATGGAAGCCATTTTTTAACTTTTATTTTTAATTAATTTGGACTTATTCTACGAATACTACAAAAAATTTTTGAGTAATACAAAAAAACTTTCAGTATGTCCAGTAATCAACTTCAAGAAATAAAACACTCTCAATGTAGTCAAGGCTCTTGTGTCCTTCTCCCACTGTCATCTTCCCTCCAGAGGCACCTGAATTCAGTGTTACTAATTTCCATATTTTACTAATCTACCTATTTTAATTCATGTACCTGCATCTTCATATTTATCTTTGTATTTTTTGAAATTTATTTTGATCATGTCAAAATACACCATTCTTTTTTTTTTAGTTTCATGTTTTGCTGTGAAAATTAAAAATTGATATGTAATTAGAATTTCATTGTATGAATTCAGTACCCTATATTTATCCAACTTTTTTGAAGTAATGACTGCTGAAATTAATTGTCAGTAGGTGTAATTAGTGCATATGTGTGTACTCCAGGGAATGTCTTCATTGTTAAGTTACTAGGAACATATGCATCGTTAAGTAACTAGGTATTGTCAGCCCCAACCAAGGTGGTTGTCCAGATTTCCATTCCCATTATAAGCTTTCTGGTTGCTCTACATCTTTATAAAACTTGGTATTGTCAGAATTATATTGTAAATCATTATACTGGTGAGAATTGCCATTGGCATTTCTGTGGTTGTCACACAGGGCATCTTAATGTTTACTGGCCAGATTAGCATGGAGTTATTATTCCCAGGCATGAGCACCCCAATGTCTCACACTCTAGTAGGACTGACATATTCAAATGACTAAAGTCTTAAAAATAATATAGACAAATGTCCTAAGTAGGAAATTATTCCCTGAGTCATTTAAGTTACTTCTGATTATCAAAACATGATGCTTGCCCGTGCGTCTCCTGTGTCATTCTCAGTTGGGACAGCCTCAGCTTCTCCTAATCCAGTTCTGGCTGTAGAAAGAATGACAATAAACCTTAAGTCATTGATGCACAGGATGAGGCTAAGTCATAAGGAAACACAGAGCTCCCCTCTAACTAAGATGGACTGAGATCAGCAGGATTTGGGAAGCCCCAGAAAGCCTACATCAACCACACAGGGGTTCCTGTGCTGAGCAAAGGGACGGACCTTGATGCTCTTTAGGACCTTTTTTCAGCCTGTATGCTGTGCCTAAGTGAGGAGTCACCCACAAAGCTTTCACAGACTTTCCACTGCCTGTGTGGGGGAAAAAATGTTTTAAGTACTTGTTGTTTTCTGAAGAGGTGATGAGTAAAATTGTTTTACAAATTATTTCTAATAGAATCAGCCAGAAAATTTTCCCTGAATCTACCATTGGTGCTAAGTAGGTAAGGTTTTGACCCCAGGGAACACACGTGCTGTCCCTTCTATAGTCTGAATTGTCATTTGCTTTCCTATGTGACAGTATTTTGCCTGCCTCACTCAGCTCTGGATCACCAGTGATTTTATCCCCACGTTGGAACTCCATTCCATGTCACTGGTGTGCAGTATTTCAGGGTGCTCTCCCTGAGATGGCACAAGTGAGAACCCAGCTGATGGCACTGATTCAATTTGTTATTGATACTGAGAGCTCTTCTGGGAAAATGTGTTGGATATCTCTGTTTATATTACTTTGGAAATATTTTATTTCACACATACTGAAAAACCCAAGGAGGAGGTCAGTTAGTTCAAGTTTGCTGACAGAAAATTGATCTATATCAGAGTCTGGATGATTGTGCTCAGTTGATTTCTTTATGACTTCAAGACAAGATTTCTACCACTTCCTTTGTTGGGAGAATGTCTAAATTAAGAGATTAAAACTGAGGAAAGCTTCTTCACGTTTAGACGGAGTTATCTTGTTTATCATTCACACTCCCCTTGTCCTTGTGTTTCCACTTCTTGGATGTTGGCTGAACCTCTCTGGTCAGTATAACCAGAGGCTCCAGGATCACAGAAGTGGAGTGTGCCGATGAATGCTGCTTTCTGTTGGGCCTCCTTGGTTATGTGTGTGCTTGTGTGTGTTGCACTTGTGTGTGTTCCACTTGTGCTGAGATGAGTGCAAATGGAAGTAGTGTTTATAAGATAACTCTTCTCACCTATAATGGCAAGTTGTAAATATCCTGTTTCCTATTCCTAGGTCCAGCTCTTCAGTGGGGCCTTTGATCTGCTTTGACCCTGGGTTGTGTTGCAGAAGTGCAGCTCACATTCTGTTCCACTGCTCCGTGTCTCTGTGCTTGTTGATGTGTTCTCGTACTTGTCTCCCTACAGGTTATCCAGGCCGTCTTTTTCGGGATCTGCGTGCTGACTGATCTTTCTAGTCTTCTGATGAGAGGAAGTGGGAACCAAGAGCAAGAGAGGCAGCTCAAGAAGCTCATCTCTCTGCGGGACTGGATGCTGGCTGTGTTGGCCTTTCCCGTTGGGGTTGTGAGTATGATGTAGAATGCATTTAGCCACAAAAAAAGCATGGATCTTATTTCAGATTTTTAAGATAGAAAAAAAGACACATTATAGGAGATTGATTTCCTCCTTCCTTTCTATCTTTTAGTGCTGAGGATTGAAGCTAGAGTCTTGTGCATGCTAAGCACACATACTAACACTGGGCTGCAACACCAGCCCCGAGGTTTAGATTTAGATTTAGATTAGTTCACTGGGCTGCCAGTACCCCAGACTGGAGGGCTTGACCAGCAGAAGTTTATTTTCTCACACTTCTGGAGTCTGGAGGTCTAAGATCAAGATCAATCGGCAGGGTTGGTTTCTTGGAGGCCTCTCTCTTTGACTTCTAGATAATCACCATCTCACTGTGTCTTATATCTCCTTCCCCATGTGCTGGTCTGTACTCTAATTTCTTTTTTTATAAGGAGATCACTCATATTGGGTCAGGATCCCCCTCCTGGCCTCATTTAACCTCAGTTCCCTCTTTAAAGTCCCAAGTGTTATCACCTCCAGAGTTTCTGGGGGGTTAAGACTTCAATATGAGACTTTTTTTTGGGGGGGCACAGTTTAATCCATAAAGGTGTCTTAAACAGCCCCAAACTTGAAATGTATGTAATTTGATTAGAGACTTTAGGTTTTTTTTTTTTTTTGTATTGTTTTGCTTTTTAGTTTTAGAGAGAAATCAACATTAGTTCACCCTTGTTAACTTAATCAAGTTGTCAACTGTACCATTAGTTAACATCACTTAAGAAATGCCACTTAATGTTTGGATCCATTCCAGATTCACTGACTTTCTTTGTTTCCAGTTAGATTCTCTCCATAACCCAACTTCCTTCCCTACATCTGCACATAAACCTTATTTCTTCAAAGTCTCCACAAGACTCTAGATTTGAACTTGTGTATAGCCAGGAGAAGAATGAGAGAATTCTATATCTCAAGTTGTGAGGACAGGTCCGAGTGTTTTACCTAGTTCAAATTCAGACCTCTCACTTGCCATTTTTTTTCCTGGAGGAGCAGAAGTGCCACTGACGTAGGCACCAGGAGCACCAAGTCCAAGGCTCATCGTCAGAAAGTTATGCCCAGATCCTTCCTGTGGCTCTTTCTCATAATGGCCAGAGGCCCCACGTGTGTGGCTGAGTTCTTTTCCTGTGTGCTGAGTTGCATTTTCTTGGGTGAGAGAGCCCCAAGTTCCTGAGAACTGTGCAAGGGCAAGGGGGGCTTCACAACCAGTCCCTGACCCTCTCGTTCCTTCAGGCTTGTCTTCTGAAGGCCACTGGGCCAGTGCTCAGATCCAAGCCATCTAGCAGATCTCTCGGGTTCTGTCCTTTACACAACAGATCTAAATGCTTTACTCTGTCATTTGACTTTGTATTATTTTATATTCCTTCTTTGCACTTGCCTTCTAAAATTCAAATACCTTGCATCAGAATAGCCATATAGAAGAAAATTTTTTCTCTAGCATGAAGTGTAAAGATGTACACTTTCTGCATAAAAGAATTATCTAGATATTCAACCTCTAGAAGAGGTTGTCCATATAGTTGGGGTGTGTGTGTTTCTTTTTTTTTTAAACTTTATAATTCTATAGGAGTATCATTGCCTCTGGAAGTCTTCATTGGGTAAAAAGAATACAATAGTAATACAATAAAAGTAGGAGCACAGATATGGGCATGTTTTCTCTTAGCTCCATGTCTCCTGTTAACTGATGCTGACGTGTTTCCACAGGAACATTCTGACTTACGGTATAAATTTTACCTGCTTCTCAAAGGCTCATTGCCTATGCTCTTTGGATGGTTGTGACATTCTTTGGTGGGAGATTTTCTGCACCTTTTTGTGCTTGAGACTTGAGGTATTCATCAACTTTGAGCGTTCTTCCTAAATTCAGTGTGGGTTTCACAGGTGTGAGTTTGTGAGCCTTTTGATTTGCTTCTGTGTTTATTACATCTGATATTTTCCTCTGTGATTTACTGTTTTTGTTGATTTGTCCATATTTTGGAAGAAGAAGAGGAGTAGCACTACTCTTCATCTCCACGCCCATGTTAACCAGAAGTCACAGCATCACACTTTCACAGCACAGTGTTCAACTTTCCCCTGGTGACAAGTTCCCGAGCAGCAGGTCAGCCTTGGCCTCACACCTGGCACCTCCATCCTGTGCCACCCGGCACACAGGAGGTGATCAGTGCTCTGCAGTCACAGAAGAGAGTAAAGTGGTAGTGATGAATCACAGATATGCAACTTGCTGATTTCTTCCACTCATTTTTTCCTTGGCCACTGGTATCTTATAGTCATTATTTCCATTTTTCATAATCTTTCTTATTATTATAGTCTGTTTTTTTAACTTCCTTTAGTTTCTGTTACTTTTCTTTGTTCTCCTTCTTTCTTTCCTTCCTCCCTTTCCCACTCTTCTCCAATTAAGAACAATCTTGGTCAGTATTCTCTGGAAATCTTATGTTTTCTACCGTTTCTACCTTACTGTGTCATTTGGCTTTGTATCTCTTTACCCAGTTTCTTCCACATTTCTAACTCTAATGCACAGAAATTCATCTTGAGGCAAAAATAAAAAAAAATCTTGATAAATGGATTCTTTCAAGATACATTAATTTTATTGTGAAGTCATGCATTTGCTCAGAAGGGTCTAAAACACTACTGTAGTTTTATTCTTTGTTTTGTGTTTGTGGTCCTGGGGATCAACCAGGGTCTCACATGTGCTAGACAAGTGCCCCTACCACTGAGCTCACCCCCAGCCCATTTAAAATTTTTATTTTCTTATAGGGTCTCAATAAGTTGTCCCTGTACTTGGCATTGCATTAGAGTTTAAATTCGATTTTCTATATGTTTCCTAAGGAAATAGAAATTCATAGATGCCTCATCACTAGTAAAAACAATTTTTAGGTGATTCTAGAAGAGGTCGGCACATATTAAATCTTTACCGACTCTTCAAGATACGATTAGAATGTCAGACATAGTGACTTAATAAATAACTTTAAGACTAAACTCAGATAAACAGATTCCTGAAACATTCATTCAGGCACATACTGCCTTGCTTTGCGACTGTGTACTCTAATCCCAGGACAGGACAAGCACAACCTTCAGGGTCCCCTCAAACCCACCCAGCAAAGGATATCTGCACCTTCACAGGGCAGGGCAGCATCTGGGCTACAGCAGCCACCCCAAGGCGTTACCAAGACAAAGATGTACTGGCGAGGTAGTGAAATTTGATTGTGTGCATTTTTCAAGCAGAATAACAAATGGATCCAGTGCCTAGAGTTGAATTTATGGAAAATGTACAATTGTTCTTCATTAAGAGGGCTGCATTGGATTGCCATTGGGGACAGATTTAGGGTTTTGGGAGAGGGACACTTTCATACTCATTTTACTCTTTGTTTGTTTGTTTTTTAGTTGAAAGTATAAGCTTACTCTCTTTAACTAGAGTGGTATCTTGCCAGCACAAAAGTCAACAAACACACAGAAGACAAAAGACATTCTTGGTTTGATTGTTCCTAATAAACTCAGTGCTTCCAGACCACATAATGTCATAGAATTATTTGTAATGCTTCTTTAAAAGGGTGACAGGGTTCAGAAATAAACTGCACATGGTAAGAAGAGCCTCCCGTGGGTTATCCCTGTGAAATGAATTGCAAGGCTTTGGGAGTGGTGGTGATTTCCGGCCATTAGCATTACTAATCAAGGCCAGCTTTGCATTGGTGGGAATCAAGATGATACATGCTCTGTTCACTCAAGCAAAGCTGCCTGATTTCTTCAAGGTCACACTGAAACAAACCTTTACTCCAATTATCTTTGATTGGAATGTTTCATTATTTTTATATATCCTTGAGGTAAGAGAGAGCTTGAAGTAGATGCATTAGGTCCACGGGTCACCAAATCATATTTAGTGCTCCATGCTCACAGAAAGCAATTACTGTCAACTCTCAATTAACCTTGTTCCTGGAGGATGCATTAGTGCAGAAATTACAAATCCTGCATAACCCACCCTGTCTTCCTTGATGCCTTCGTTGCAGCTGTGAAATGTATGTGCACATGTGTGCATGTGAGAGAAAGAGGGAGAGTGGGAGCACCAGGAAAAGCTTGGGCCAAACAGTCTCTCATGCCTGTACTATGAAGCAAAGATAACACTGCTTCCTCAGGAACAAACTGACAAGAAGTATGAGGTAGAGGAAGCCTGTTACAGCAAGGAGCACTGGGCGTGGTCAGCAGGCACCTTGCAGCCAGAGCAGCAGAGCAGAAAAGCCCTTAGGACACAAGGTTTCCAAACACAGAGTCGATACTTTCTACCTTAGGTTGCTGGAGCTAGGACCTGTGCTCCCCTCATGCTCCAAAGGTGCTTAGATGTTTTGCTCTCTGGAATTCTGTTTGCATCAACCAAAATGGTGAAAGGTGTTTACTTCACATGTTATTATGAATCATTTGCACATATGATAAGAATTCTTAATGCTACAGATTCCTGCGGGTATTATAACTGTGCCCATCAGGTACTGGCCACAAATGCTGTGTCCATCCTTCTGCAGTTGTGAGCCCCATTGGCTGGGCATCTCCCTTCAGGGCTGGGAACCACAGGAAGAGTAAAGTGCTTCTTCAGGTGACTCCTTGTGGCTTTGCTCCAGGAAGTGTTCATGTTTCACAAGGAAGAAAGTTCTTGTTTTATTATTACCACTTAAGTTGATTGGGCACATGCCTGTAATACAAGTAACTCAGGAGCCTGAGGCAGGATCACAAGTTTGAGGTTAGCTGGGCAATTTAACAAGACCCTGTCTCAAAATAAAAATAAAAATAAAAAAGGACTGGGGATGTAGTTCAGTGACATAGTGCCTGTGGGTTCAGTCCCCAGTACTAGGAGGGGACAGGGGAGGAAATAAAGGGAAAAACTGTTACAATAAAATAAAATAAATCTCTGATGCAAACTCCACGAAAAAGTATATTGTAATTATTTTCAAAAGTAATTCCTCACCAGGTGTGCTGGCACATGCCTGTAATCC